TGGACTGGGATAAACAGCGTGCCTGTTAAACCCACCCTGGAGAAATGGATAGCCAATATCACAGAGTCTCCCCTCAAGCCACATCAGAGGGTCGACATACTCTGTAAGTACGCTTTGCCCCGGCTGTTTTACCAACTTGAGCTGGGCAATCTGAATCTGAAGGAACTCAGGGAACTAGACAGCATGGTCAAACAAGCTGTCAAACGTTGGTGCCATCTACCTGCCTGTACGGCTGACGGCCTGCTAGACTCCCGTCATCGTGATGGGGGTTAAGCTGTAGTAAAATTAGAGTCTCTTGTCCCTTGTCTAAAGATCAAAACGTATTTGAGACTAGTGCAATCGACCGACCCCGTCACATCGATTTTGGCGGAATCCAATGGTTTAGTGGGTGCCATCGAAGGTATTGCTCAAAAGGCTGGGCTTCCGATCCCTACGCCTGACCAGCGATCTGGAACATATCATTCCAAATGGAGGGATATGGAAAGGAGAAGCTGGGAAAGGTTGGCCCTGCACAGGCAAGGTGTGGAGCTCTTCAAAAGCTCAAGATCTGCCAACCACTGGTTGCCAAAGCCAGTTGGTATGAAGCCACACCATTGGGTAAATTGTCTGGCAATGAGAGCTAATGTATACCCTACCAAAGAGGCCCTCAGCAGAAGGAATCTGTCTAACAACGAAAATTCTGCCAAGTGTCGGGGTTGCATATCAATGAGGGAGACCCTATGTCATCTAAGTGGTCAATGCCCGAAATTGAAGTCCATGAGAATACGGCGTCACAACAAGATCTGTGAGCACTTGATCGCCGAGGCCAGCTTTAAAGGCTGGAAGGTTCTGCAAGAGCCTACCTTGGTTACAGACAATTGTGAACGTCGGCGACCTGATCTGATCTTCCATCGTGATGATAAAGCGGTGGTTGTTGATGTGACGGTTCGCTACGAAATTTCGAATGACACGTTGAGAGAAGCTTATGCTTCTAAAGTTAGAAGGTACAAATGTTTGGCTCCACAAATAAAAGATCTTACAGGGGTTACCTCCGTTGTCTTTCATGGATTTCCTATGGGTGCCCACGGTGCCTGGTTTCCTGAAAACACGAACGTGCTGGCTGACCTGAACATCCGGTCCAAGTACTTTGAAGAGTTCTTGTGTAGGCGTACCATCCTCTACACACTGGACCTGTTGTGGAAGTCAAACAATGAAAAGTACCTAGAAAGGCTTGCACCCTAAATTGTCTCTTTCCCCAATGATTTCTACTGGCATGCTGCTGAGGCTAGCTAGATTGAGGAATCTGTGTGTAATCTGTAATGATTACAACCCGAAGGGCATCTATCGGTAGCGTCGACCCTGACGTGAAATTGGGTAATAAGAAATATCAATAGCCAAATGCCTCGTAATCTAATTAGTGACGCACATTAACGAGATTCCCACTGTCCCTATCTACTATCTAGCAAAACCACAGCCAAGGGAACGGGCTTGGAAAAATCAGCGTGGAAAGAAGACCCTGTTGAGCTTGACTAATGATAATATGTGTGATTGGCAGAAAAGTCCATTTTGTAGAAGAAAAGGGGCCATCATCCCTCTCTTCATCAGCCAGTTTATAAAAGGGGCTATCATCCCTCTCTTCAGCAGCAAGTTTATAAAAGGGGTCATCCCTCACTTTAGCAGAAAGTTTATAAAAGGGGCCATCCCTCTCATCAGCAGCAAGTTTATATTATTGGTTCTCATTTATGTCTTCTCCTCAAATCGTACTTTGTTTGCAACTAAAAAAAAGTCAAGATTTAAAATACGTATGAGTGGTAAAAAGATATTTACAGAAACAAATACATGGTATATTGAAAAATATGTAATGCATTCTTCATAAATAGAGAGAATTTTGAGAAGATACTTTATTGACTTCTTAGTCTTAAACACATTTCTTGTAAAATATAAGGAAGCCCATAGTATCCGAACTTTTAAACCACATATATCATTTAATCATAATCTACAAACAAAACGATATTAACTTAAGCAACAAATTTCAATGATACAAATTAAAAGTTATCAACTACAAAAACACATCGTTACGTTATTAAGGCAGCTTTTGAAATAGGGTATTTATGAGTTTATACTTCACATATTTTCCATTATTATTTTTTCGTTAGATGGTAGCAAAGTTTCCCACTTTGATCACATTCTAAAATAAATACTTCCACGTTTAATGATCGAAACACTTCAATAACGTAAGAGATTATGATAACACCTTAATCCAAGTTGATTATTTTCACAGGCTCTAAAAATGCTATACCTGTATACAAAATATTTCAAAATCACCCTTACCAAGATATTAAGCAATGCACACACGTGAAAATTGGTATTTTTTTAAAACATTTTGGATGTTTTACAAAAAAAAAAGAAAATACAATTCATAAACATTTATGTTTAAACTTACGATAAATCAAAACAGTAGCCTAAATAAATGTGAATATTTCTCAAGCAAGGCACATAGTAGCCAGATCGATAACCATTTTGTGCACGTTTATCATTCATCTAATTGATTTGGTGCAATTGATCCAAAAATCTGAAACCTTATACCTAGAACAAACTTTAACTAAGAGTGTAAATCAAAATAAAACAATGGTTTTGTTTACGTCGTTGAGAATTTAAAACGAAAATACACAATTTTGTTTCCTATTCATTAAATAAATATGTATAATTCAGTCGTCTGACAATAAACTGCTGCTGACCAGCTTAGAGCCCATCCAGAATACATCTCAAGTTCCAAAAAAAATAAAACGTTGAACAATAACAGTAGCTTGAAATTCTTAGTAAATTAATCTCCTAACCCTCATTTTTACAAGATAAACATCAACTTATGAAACTTTTTGGCCTCAAATAAATCTATTTTTGAATGTCATTTATGAAAATTCATGCCATTCTATCACCCTTCTACATTTTGAAGGGAATGATGTGATACTGATAAAATATTATAATAAAGATTATATACTTACAGATACATAAAAGCAAATTGAAAGTGATGCCAACTAAACAGTTCCTTGACCTTTCACATAAAAACAAAACATTCTAGTAGTATGTACTGCACGTTTCATAGTCTGCACATGTAAAAAATACACACTAAAATTTTCTGGGATGTTCCTTTCTGAGTATCAGTTGCAAACAACCTGGTAAACTACTTACTCTAGAACTGTTCAGAGGTTGAAAGGGAATGAATAAAAAAAGGCCGGTTTCAAGATATATACATACATAAAGAACTAATTAAAGAATCTCTCTTCAAAAAACTTATGTGTGTGTTTTACAAATATAACATCACCTTTCACTTCAACAGCACTGGCAACACTATTTTACATAAATTTAATTCAATTTTGAGCTTATGAAGCAGCACCAAGAACGATATCCTAAAGAAAACAATGTATGATAATTCAAATTGAAAAAAATCAGTCATCAAACCCCTTATAAATTAATAAGTGTACTACGTAACAAATTTAAAATTTACTGCTAAATTTCTACTAACTTGTAGAATAATATACCTATGAATATATATATATATTTTTACTTTTTTTAGAACATTGATTTATATCATTATAAAGAAGGACACTTATGCTATAGTTTTCAACTGCTGTATCTTCTTTTTTTGTGCAAAGCTACACAAGAGCAATTTGCACATAGCTGTCTCTAATTTTGAACTAACTGACTAGAGTGAAGGCAGATAGTCAATACCACTCACCATCAACTCTTGCCTGATTGTATAATACAATTTCACCATCACTCTTACAGAACGCTCAAATCCCAGAGCCCAAATTACAGTCCATGAATCCTTGGATTAACAGTCCTGGAATGTAAACCACTAAGCTACACTGAACCCCTCTCATATCTAGAGTTATCTTATAAATCTCCAATATCAAACTTAATAAAACATTTGAGAATTTTGATTTTTTTTTTTTTTACCAAAATCTTGAGTGAATATATTTCATAACATTTTCTCAGTATTTTGAATATCCAAGAAACAAGTTCTTCAAGTATAGTCATTACCAAAGGCTTCCAGGTTGCACAATTTGAACAAGCAGATAAGAAAGGCAATATATGTCTTATCTATCTTTTAGTTGTGTAAAATAATCATTATATAGCAGTTTCTTGAAAAAACAAATTTTATGGGGTTTATCCACAAGCACAACACATTTTACAAACTAAAACATAACAACTAAAAGGCAGAATAAACATTAACTTCTTGTTTTCCTAATACAAGCTTAAATACTTTTATTTGGTATGCAAAATATATATGTAAGCACATGCAAATACTGCAAAAAAATAATAAACATTTCATAATCTTTTTCACCAGAAACCATAAAGCACACATACACACATATATATACCAATTTGTTAACTATGTCTGTAGATAATTCTTATTAATTTTTTACCCAAAAATTCATTGCCTATCAGTTTCATCATAAAAAGATAGAAAGGCCTATAAAATTTGTAAACTTTGGCCTTTTTTCAATATTAAAGTCTTTCTCCAAGGAAGCTTTATTACAAATTTTACTCTTATTTTGTTAAAACGTTAAAAACAGTTCATCTTATGTATTGATCTCACATTAAAAAAAACAGCAAAATTAATTTTTTCTATACATTTTAAGATTTAATTATTTCCCACTCTTTCAGCGTGAGAAGTCTCAGAAATCATTCTTAAACACCCATGAAGCCATTTAGTACTTTAATTCATTTTTTATTATTATTAAAACTTTGTGGAAAACTCATTTGTTCTGTAATTGAAATTATACTTACTGTAATTACAAAAATACCTTTCAAATATAAGTATAATTAAGAATTAACCCAGTTTCTTCAGATATAAAACAAAATGTTTCCTTATAATTTGGTATGAACAATTTTCTTAAACAAAGAAGATAATTTACTCCATGACTTATAACCCAGTTCTAGCTGTGATAATTGCAATAGGTAAAACATTAGGGACAAAGATCAAAATAAAAATGACCTAAATCAAGAGAATACTGAATAATAATGAAAAAAAAGTCATATTATTAGTTCAAACAATGTTGTTTTTTATCTGTGTACTATTTTTGCCATTAAGAATGAAACAACTGCAAAAACCAGACAAAGAGAAAAAAGAAACAAAAATAAGGATATTCAACTTGTTCCTGACAAAGTCTTTCTAAACACTGTTTTACTACTGGATTCAAAGTTACTTTGAACAACATCACAATGTTCTGGTTGTAATCAGTCAAAACCCCCTCCTCCTCCACCGCAGTCAGAGTTTCCACCAAAGTCTGCAGTAACAGTGTTCTCAGTAGCTTCCTGATGTGATGATGAGATACAGCTCGTGGTTTGGTTACTGATGCTGTGTGTGACAGAGGAAATGCTGGAGTGTTCTACAGAGGAGTTACTTGACTTGATCACAGCTGATGATTCGTTGTGACTTTCAGAAACGTCTGGGCTGGGGGCATTGTTAGTTGCATTAGTTTTGTTGGCACCGTTAGATTGGTTCTGATCATCCTCATTAGTTTTAGTAGTGTTCTCGCAAGTCTCAAGCTCTGAATGGTTTCTGTAGAATGTTGGCTGGATATTTAAAAAATGAAAGTTAGAAACAATTCCTTACAAAGTTATGTTGTTGTTAACCTCATCAAAAGCAAATTTATATTTTCAACAATACAAAAAAATCCAATAATTTGTAAAATTTAACTAAATATAAAAATATAATTACCATACTATCTAAAGTACCATTTTTCTGTTTTAAATATCTGTGTGTTTAAGCACAAAGTTATACAATGGGATATCTGTTCATCGTAAGTTGAACCCCAAATTTTAGCATTATAATCCCCAAGCTTATGACTGAGCCACCTGGGAGCTGTTTGGAACACTGCATAATTTGGGATCTACCAATTACCAAATTAAGATAGATAAGATACATCATTACTACATCACAGATGGTTCTTATGAAATATTCACGATTAAATTTAAATACATTTTCATTTTACATTATAATCCTTTCCTAAAGCATATAATTCTGTTAACTATACTTCAGCTGCAACACACAAATACTAACAGCAATCAAAATTAAGGATAAGATAAGCACAATAATGTTGATCTTACTGCAATAGAATTTGCACATCGAGTTTCATGAAAAAAAACCTTATTACATATCGTGTTGAAATGTTACTATCAGAGAAATTTTCTTATAATTCTTCAACTCACATATTAAAACCTAACTTTTCAGCAACCATATCTTCATATCAAGCTCACAATTAACTTTTTCAATTCTAAAGCTACTACTATTTCTCAACAATTTGGTCTATGACACATGAAATTATTCAATACCTTATCATCAATGCTCAAAACCTCAAGATCCCTTGTAGCCTCTCCATTACTATCAGTTCTTTTCTTTTGATTAGTATTGTTTCCTTCTTCCTCAGAATCTTCACCAGATGAATCAGGAAGCTCCTGCTTATTGTCCACTAAATATATAGTGAATATTATTTGGCAAGTGCTAGTCTTAACCAAGTATCACTCGTATGACCTTATATATTATCTGGTACTAATTACAATACATAACTTTTAAAACATGCTTATGACAAATACTATACTATCAGGGGTTCATCATCTGCTAAAAAACAAACCAGTGGAGTATTTCTGTATTAATGATTCCTTGTATTAAAACATTCCCAAACAAATAATACATATTCACTTTGTTCATTTCATTTCCCCAAAGAAAAGTAAAATATCTAAAATGTGATGGGTATAACACATCTTCATACTGAGATGCTAATCATACACAGCAAACTAGTTTCAAATTGAAAAAACTTAAAATCTACTTACTTGTACAAACAAAATTTTAAACATTTCTATCAGAGCAGATTTGAGGATATTATTAAACAAGTAGTATAAAATCCTCCAGCTAAAGTAAATTAGTTATTAAACCTGTGAATAATGTAGCAACCAAATAATAACAAAATATCTTTACAAAAGATGTTAAAATTCATAGGATTTAAAAAAAAAATTCATCAAAATGGAGAGACTGTGCAATGCATTACAGCATCAAATAATCCATAACATTAAAAAGATTTATTTTCCTTGAGACACAATATATCATTAGAGCTCTTACACACATGCAAACACAATAATTCAGAAATTTTACCTGGTGCTTCTTCCAAAGTGTTATTAGCTGCACTCTTGGTGAGGGTGTTATAGCATGCTAGACACACTCGTACAGGTCTGTTCGACTGAGACGGAAGTAGAAATTTCTTGTTTGAACAAGGTCCACACACAACTGCACCACACTTACGACAGTGATGCTGAAATCGAGTGACACAAGTATTTATTTCATTCAGTACATCACAGACTGAATATATTCCCTTGTGTTTATGAAGAATTAGTTACAGTCGAATTTTAAACATAACAAATTAAAAAAATTTCAAAGATGCATTTTAGAGAAATAACTGTTATTCCGAGCCTCATTCCCCTCACAATAAATAAAAAATAAATATAAATTAAAAAAGATGTTCATAATACTTTTGAATTATTAATAACCTATTGTTAAAATTAATATAATTCTTGTCCTTTTTTGATTCTATGAACCTTAACCAACTCCTCAGAAATTAATCTTTAATAATACAGTACAGTTAGCAAAACATGATCAAAGCCTACCAAAATAAAATAGAAACTTTTTTTCTCTTCAGCTGAATGCAGAAAGATGTATCTAAATTAATCAGAATAAGAAACCACAAACAAATAAATTCAACACACTTTCTTTAAAAACTTTAGCTTAATATCCTGATATTTTAGCTAGAGGATTACTTAATTGTGTTACATCTAGACCTCCTGAATAAACGACATTCTGGTCATGATATGTAGACATGATAAACTCAAATTGCTACGTCATTTCACTTTTATTTTTCTATCTATATTTAGCATGAAAAATTGGGGCACTTTAAGCCCAAAACACACACTTGGGTGATGACTTTACATTATAACTTGGCACGTTCTGGAACTTAAATATGAATCATATAATTCATTTCTGATGAGCAACTAAACACACATTTTTGTTTTGCCATGGTTTCTGCAGCTGTCAACTGACCAAAATTTAAGACCAATCCTATGATAATTTAAACACTTATTTTCACAGCAAATTGACCAAAAAATAACAAAATACTGATAATAAAGAATCATTTGAATACCTTCTATAATTTATTTATTCAACTTTTAATGTATTTATAATGGATACCAACATGTTTAACAATGACGTATGTTTCTTACTTACTAACATGACACATTCCGCTACTCTTATTTTTGTATGTGTATTGAGAGCACTAACATTAACATTTTGGCCTGTAATTAATTGATTAAAGCCTTTTCAAAGCCTTAAGAATATAAAAATGAATTTCAGACTTTTTAAGGTTCTGTATGAACAACATGCTAATTACCAACATCCATGATGAACTTTCTTGGACCATCATGCAAAGACAGGACTGAAACACCAAGGTCAATGACCATGTAGAAACTCTGGCAGCTATATATGTGTACTTACCCTTCTGTTAATCACGTTGAACTGAGACTTTCTACAATGCATACAAGTTGTGGCCTCAGCATCTGGAACCCACACTGCAGCATGTTCAGTAGACTGCTTCTTTCCAGCTATTTACAAATACATAAATGTTAAAGCATGGTCCACTTTCTTGGAGTTGAAAGTGTAATAAAAATCTTAATGTTTTTGTAGGTCTTTGAATAAAGACTGTACTGGAAACAATTGGCTATGTTACAAGAAATGCTACTACGTATTCTTTGATAGATTGTTTAGGCACAGTATTCATGATGAAATTTAGTTGAATGGACGACAACTGCCTGTTGTTGAAACACAAGTGTAGAGGACAACATTTGGAAAGTCTTCTGCTTTTTGTCTTCAGGTAAGTGTATGTATAGTTTTGTCAGTCTTTCTAATATTCTGGTGGATTGTGGAGGTCTTGTTTATGATTGGTTGGTTTATCCCTGTTTCTGAATCTACAGGAAGCCTCTCCATCAATCAGAAACAGGGATAAGCCAACCAATCATAACACGCCCTCCACAATCCACCAGAATACTATAAAGACCAACAACACCATACACACACTGACCGGAAGACCAAAGGCGGAAGACTTTTGAAACTTCGTTCTCTACAATTGCGTCTCTACAACAAGCAGTTGTCATCCATGAAACTAAATTTCAAAGTGCTACTACTGTTTTGATACAATTGGATTATGTTTAAAGAACTTGAGAAATGATTTCTTTTTTGAACAGTATTCTTCTATATTGTTATTTATTTATTAACTATAAAAAGACTCAAAAAAATGTAATGTGCAATAGAATAAATAAGAAATGAAAATAAACTTTCTCACTTGCAATGAATAAATAATAAAATCATACTTTTTTATATACTGTTTGGTGACAGCGATATATATATATATATGTATGATTTTTGCTAGCTTTTATTAGACAGTTGAAAGTTGTGAAACAAAAACCAATGATGTGAGAGGGGGGGGGGGTCTGAGCCAAAAGGGGCCCACCTGACAAACTTAAGAATTGCCAAAAAGGGGAATAAAATGTAGGGCCCCAATAACATCTTATGTAGTTATGCCATAGTCAAAAACTGCAGTGATACTAATTTTAAGGTTATAAACCACCAACTTCAGCTAGAAACAAACACAAAACATCTACAAAGTCCACATTTTTGTTTCGTATGTGGACAAGTTTTATTGGAAGTTTAAACAATTCTACTCCTGAAAAAAAAAAAGACAATTGAGTTGTAAACAAAAATCTACATTATGGTTAGAAATTTGGCATTCAAAAATGTAACATACTTGTAATGGAGATTTCTAAGAAGATGCAAGTTTTGTTTTTTATCATCAAAACTATTATAAACTATAAAGCAAGTCAGTAATTATCAAAGAAGGTTGTACTGTTTTAAGGAATAACATGGTGGAAAACTGTTATATGATTTACAGGGTTTACCTATGTAGGCCTAAGTGATAATGTCAGAACACGATACAAGTTGCAGGTTGAGCTTGGAAATGGAAAGTTGATGTTGAGTGGAGAATTTATCTTCAAGCACTTGAGTCAACCAAATATCCAATAATACCATTGACTATACATTATACTACCATATGTCACAAGACGCATCTGTATGACTAGAAAAAAACAGAATTTATCATTAGACCCCC